GGGACTCGTTTGGGACACTTTTAGGGTTTTTCTACAAATATGGTCACTGGTTTTTCATCATCCTCTCCCTCTCTTGGCCGGCGGCCATGTCAGCCAAGGGGCTGCCACCCTTCTTCTTCTTTTTTCAGCCTTTTCCCTCATGGTAAATGTCGTAGGGCCTTAACGTTTATTGTAGGCCTTGGTGAGATCATCCTTTCCCTCTTATTGGAATTCCATTTTGTCCATCTTTTGAGTTCAGGTTTGAATCCAAGCTTAGATTTTGGTAGGACTTCCATTGGGTTTATTGTTCACCGTGTTGTCCCCGACAAAACCCCGAAGTATCGTCAGATTCAGAACGGTTTCATTTTGGTGGCTTTTGAGATTTTCATCTCGAATTGAGGTAGGGGATGTCTTAGGTTTATATTAATGTTGTATTGATTGTTTTAGAAGCTTATACAACTTGTATACATCCTTTAGTTCAAGTTCTGGAATTTAATTTAATTATTTTCTATGTTTAAGATTTAATTCTCACGATGGTATACAATTTAGATTAAATTGTCGCATGTTAGTAAATTAGGCATTTGTATGTTTGTTAACATATATTAAATTGGAATTATTTGAATAAGAATTCCAACTTTTATTTACTAATTTTCTTTTATGAAAGTTTAATTCTCATGGTCGTGCCTTGCATGGAAGTAACTTGTGATATGCTATTAAATTAAGTCTTGCAATGTTCTTTAATATACTTTAATTTGAGAGCATTTGGATGAGTTTGAAAATCTAGAAATTTTAATTAAAAGAATTAATTAAAATCTATTTAATGGTTCAACTGGCTTAATTAAGTTTTTAACTTGATATTTGTAATGACTAGGACTTGTTTACTAGTATATATTAATTTGGAACCATTTGGAGTTGCTTTAGAATCTAAGGATTTAACTAGCATGATTAAATTAAATTTCTACTTGATTGTTCAAATGACCTAATTAAGTTTTTGATTTGATATATGTAATGATCAAGTTATGTTGTTTAACATGTATTAATTAGGGATCATTTGATTGAGATTTAAAATCTAGAAAAATTAATTAGTTTATTTAATTAATTTTCGTTTCTATTGCGTTAATGATTTAATCATATGTTTGACATTGGTTGTATGTTTAAATCATGAGTTTGGACTTGTAATGGATTCATGAGTTTATGTTTTCAATATTGAATGATATTGTTATAGCGTGTAATGAATCACACACTAAAAATTCAACATGTGATGTTATTATAGCATGTAACGAATCGCACTTTGAAGATTCGACATTTGTCAAGCTACAGTACTTGTAGATTTAGAGCATGTGTTGTATGGTTTCAACCTAATTGTGTATGGAAGGTAGTTTTGTGCATTATTTAAATTCGTGTACAAGTTGTTAACTTATTAATTTTGGAGTCACTTGGAACATCGTTGCAAAGACATGGCTAGAGTTTAGCTCTAGTACGGGAGGTACGTGTTCTCCCTACTTTATAGTGCACACTAGGGTGGTATTCCTAGTGGGTTAGTGCTTGGAATAACCGTTTAGGTCTTGGTTTACTCCGAGATTTGATGTCCAAGTCTTCCACTATTTGATTTCATATTCAATTCCAAGTTGACAACCAATGTTTAATTGTGACTTGTGGTTTTGGTTATTAGCGATTTAATGTTGTTAAGTACATTTGTGCATTGTGATTTTTAATGAATCATCGCAGGTTTTAATGTTGTTAAGTATATTAATGCATTATGATTTTTATTGAATCATCGCAGGTTTTAATGTTGTTAAGTACATTATACTTTAAATGTTCAAATGTAGCTTAGGAATGATCCTATAGATTCATTTGGAACATAGACGTTAGGTGGTATGACCCACTTTAGTTGTTTTCGTATTTTAGATTTCAAGTTGCTGGCTTAGAGAATTTATGTCTTGTTACCTTATATAACATGCTTCTATGTTATTTGAATTGCATGAATGATGTGATTTATACTAGAAATGTTCTAAGGTAGCTTAGCATACTCCCTGAGTCTCACCTTTGACATAGACGTTAGGTGGCATAACCTTTTGAATTGCTTCCTATTGATGTGATAATCTTGTAAAACATTAGGTCTTTGCATGCTCATCTCCTACGAGTAGCTTTATGTTACTTACGCCAAAGTTACCGGGGACAATTTTCAGGTATAAGAATCAAGGTTGAGATTCTCGTTATGCTTGGATGATTTGTGGACTTGAAGGTTTTTACTCTTGTAAAGGTTGGCTTGAAACGCCACTTGTAGCCTTATATGTCAAAACTTGTATATTTGATTTTAAACATATAATGTGTGCCTACTCACACCTTTTGACATTCACTTTGTATGTATAACATGAGGCCAAGAGCCATTAATTTTAAAGTTCATAAGTATGTTTTAAACTTGTTTTGGATCATTTGGAATGCATGTATAGCCTTAAAGGTTGGACCTAGCACCTCCCCATGCATTGCAGCAACAACTTTTGTTGCTTTCTATTTTGTTGTTTGGTCGATTGTTGCTTTCTGTCTCGTCGTTCGGCTGATTGTTGCTTTCTGTTTCATCGTTCAGCTGATTGTTGCTTTCTGTTTCATTGTTCGGCAGTTAGAACGCCTAACCATATAGGTCAGAACGCCTGACCATGTATGTCAGATCGATCGACTTTGTAAGAGCGCCGAACGAGCGCTCGGTGTTAAAGAGTGCCGAACGAGCGCTCGGTGTTGAAAAGTGCCGAACGAGCGCTCAATGCTTTTGCTTTGGACAAGCACTCGTCTATGCCTCAAAACCTTTCTTTCTTTTGCTTGATCATCTTTCACTTCAGTATTTCGGATCCGTTATTGGGTCAACTTTTGGATCATCACTGATGTATCGGGTTGCAAAAACTTTGGCTGTCACAATTTGTATGGATTAATGCTTCCAATTGATTATTTAATTCTATCCATATGTCTATGTATGCTAAAATAAATGTTTATGTGTTTTTTTCTAGATTTAATGAAATTGATGCATCTCTATATGTGTTGATGTTGTTAATCTAGTGATGATCAAGGCATGGTGTTTAATTGATTACTCTTGTGATTTATTTGATGGTTCATACTTATTTCTTGATGGATTGTGCCACGTCCTTAGGTTATTTAGCTTAATTTTCATTTCATTAGCTTAAATGTAGTGTAATTGTTTTAATTTCTTTGGTAGGTGGACAATCTATTCTTATTGTTTGACGTTCCACACTTATAAATGCAAGAAGTGCATTTCTCTAGATATTTGTGTGTGCACTAATTGTGGTTTAATTGAATGGTTAATTGTTTCATTTGATAGTTTGTGCTACTCACTAGATTGATTGGACAATCTATGCTTATTTACCATCCATGCTTAGTTTAAATTGGTGACACTCACACTCATAAGTTACAACTTGAATTTCTCCATTAATTTACAATTGCTAGTGTTTGGTGAAGTGAAGCTTAGTGATGAACTCTAAGCCCCAAGGCTTTTCTCTCATATATTTTCTCTAATTCTAGATTGTCATTTAATCTCATTGCTTTAAGTGAACCATTAGTTAGTTAATCAATCAATCCATTTTTTGATCACTCGAACTACTAATCCATCATTCATTCCAAGAATACCGCTCTTTTCCCTTTGGACGATCCCTACTTACTCTAGCTACATTAATAGTTAGTAGTGGTAGTGGCATTCTATAAATTCAAACTTGGCCACATTTCATTTCACACACCACACACTTTATTGCAACTTTGGGTGTTGACGACGACTACGCAACCAAGTTTTGGCATTGTTGCCAGGGATTGGCAACGTCGTATTTTTGGAATTAATTAGAAATTTGTACTCTTTTGATCTTATCTTTATTTTATTTTATTTTTGGCTCCTTATTGTGTTTGTTCTTGATTAGCTAGGTACATTAAGCCAAGGGAAGTGAAGCAAAATGATTCTAAAGTAAAAGAAGCAAGCTAAGCTAAGCAAAAACATAAAAAGCAAAAGCATAAATAAATAAAAAATTGCAAAGCAAAGCAAGGCAAAAATTGAAAATAAATTGAAGTTGTTTAAGGACCCTTTGTGAGCTTTTCTAACTCTCTTACTTAGTTAAATCGTTGACCCTCGTGGAGGCAAGTTTTATTTTCTTAGATAGATCGTCGGCCCGTGTAGAGGCAATTTATTTTTCTTGCATATTGTTGAAAGCATGGGAGTATGGGATCAATGTATGTGGAGGTTTGTTAATTGACTTGTTGCGGAGGAGAAGTGCTTGTTACTTGCTTGTTGTTGAGTTGTTGTTTGTTTTAATTGTGCATGCATGGTCGTAGGTCATTGAATCATACTCTTGTCCCACTTGATTTGAATCTTGAATCCATTGTTCGTAATCCTAGGGGAAAGGGTAATTCTAGTGACTCCATTTCATCAAGAAAGGAACATAATGATGACCAAGTGGAAGACCTTTGTCACATCAACCAGCAAGGCATCCTTCACCCTAATGTGCATCAACATCATGATAACATTCAAGTACCATTAGGCGTGCCTAAACCCTTTATTCCACAACAACAAGGCCAAGTTCCAATGGGAATGCCTCAGCCATTTTTTGTTCCACATCCACCTCCCATTGTTTAAGAAAATCATGGTGCTCGTGTTGAGGCATGAATCCCCCCTTGCTTTGAGAGATAATTTTGTGCTAAATAAGTATAATGCACCAATATGCATTCATTTACCTCCATTTAGAGCACACCATTATGAAATTAAACTACAAATAATTCAAATGCTTCCCAATTATCATGGGCTACCAAGTGAAGAACCTTACAAGCATTTGGATGAGTTTCTTGAAGTGTGTTCCATTGTGAAATACATGGACATGCCGGAAGAGGTTTTGAGGCTAAAACTCTTCCCTTTCACCCTTAAAGATAAAGCAAAATATTGGTTCAACAGTTTAAAGCCTTTTTCAATAACTTCTTAGGCAGAGATGCAACAAGAGTTCTTGAAAAAGTACTATCTGGTATCAAAGACCAATACAGTGAGAACTTCAATTCATGAATTTTCTCAAAGGGAAGGGAAAATGTTTCATGAGGCATGGGAGCGATTGAATGACTTGCTTAGGAAGTGTCCACATTATGACATTCCTAAATGGCAATTGGTTCCATATTTGTTTGAAAGTTTGTCGGATAATTATAAAGGAATGGTTGATGCTTCTATCGGTGGTTCTTATCTTGATAGTCATGAAGATGCTGTATGGCGTTTATATAACAGCATGAGTGAGAATTCAATGCATCGATCTTTATCATCTAAAAATGTTTAAATGTAGGTGGAAGGAAGAATGTTGGCTTGTATCAAGTTGACCATTCCAATGATATAGCCACCGAAGTGAAATCTTTATCCCAAAGGTTTGATCAATTTTTGATCAACCAAAATTCAGCAAATCAAGTGTCTTCCTCCCCTCATCATACTCATCATACTTCTAATGAATCTTGCATGACTTGTTCTAGTGTTTTACATTCTACTTCCAATTGTTCCCATGGACATGTGCAAAGTGAACACCATGAACAAGTGAATACCACTTTTGTTAATCAAGGGAATAATCTCTATGGCACTCACTATAATACCGAGTGGAGGAACCGTCCAAACTTCTTTTGGAAAAGCCAAGGGGAAGGCTCAAACCCTCCCCAAAGTGGTTTCTAAGGCAAGTATGTTCCACCCCCAATGCAAGGTCAAGGTTCCCAAGGTTATTGTTCATCTTAACAAGCATCACATGGTAACCAATTTTCAAACTCTTATTTTCCAAATCAATCTTCATATTCTTAAGGAAATTCAAGAAGTCCTGCATTTGAAGAAAAAGTTCTAACTGCTTTAGGAACTTTAGAGGCAAATACCCAATTACTTTATTCTCATTCCCAATCGATTACAAAGCTAGAAACCCAAGTCAGGCAAATAGCTAGTACATTGAATGCTAGGGAAAAAGGGAAAATGCCTTTGAATCCACCACCAAAGCAACAATTTGTTATGGAGACGAATTCCTCTTCGGAAGGTCCCACACTTGAACATGTGAATGCAGTGACCACTTTGAGAAGTGGAAGATTTTTTAATAATCAAGTTGGTGTTCCCAATGAAGAGAGTGGACCGGTGCAACCAAAAGTTGACAATCATCCCGTCTCACATCTTATTCTTCCTTCGTTGAATGTGAAAGAATCCATTGTTGAAAAAGCTTCTAAAAATGATTTTGAAAAACTTTTTGAGCCCAAGGGTCCATTTTTGGATGCTTTAAAAGCATCCACCTCTCTTGAAAAGCAACAAAGCAAAGCTAAAAAAATAATTGATGTGTTTAGGCAAGTGAAAATTAATCTTCCTCTCTTTGATGTAATTCAACAAATTCTGACTTTTACCAAATTTTTGAAAGATCTTTGCACCCTTAAGAGGAAGAACAAAAGCCAAGCACAGAAAAAAGTTGTTTTGACTGAGTAAGTAAGTTCCATTTTGCGACACAACACCCTCCCAAAATTTGAAGACCCAGGTTCACCAACCACTTCTTACATTGTTGGTGATCATGTTATCAATCGGGCTCTTTTGGATTTAGGAGCGAGTGTGAATCTTCTCCCTTATTCGGTTTATGTTCAATTGGGCTTAAATGATTTAAAATCGACGTCGGTAGTTTTGCAACTTGCCGAATGATCAATTAAAAAGCCCCGGGGTACCATTAAGGATGTATTCATTAAAATTGAGAAGTTCTTCTTCCCGGTTGATTTTGTTGTCATTGACACGGAACCATCCCCAAATCCTAAGAGCCAAATTCCCGTTATCATTAGCCGTCCTTTCTTGGCTACCGTTAATGCCAACATTAATTGTAGGACGGGGATAATGAAGATTTCATTTGGTCACATGAAGGTGAAGCTAAACATTTTTAATCCAACCCCCAATTCTATGGACAAACATAAAGATATATGTGTAGTTGAAAAATGTCTTGAAAATGAATTTGAAAAAAATGAGTCTTTGCTTGGTGTTAAAACTTCAAATGGTTTATCTTCTAAAAAGGTTTCAAAAGATATTGTTTTCAAATCAAGTGTGGAAAGGGCATGGAAGCCCAAAAGTTTTATTGATAAAGGACCATCAATCTCATTTGAATCAAATTCAACAAGTTCCTTAGGGAATAATTTGTCGGATGGGGTTTAAAGTTCCATTCACCCCATTAAGGAAGGGATACATACCAAGATTTATGATTCAGACTAAAAGAGTCTAACGTCTTGCTAGAGACGTTAAAGACTAGTGTGCTTCGTAGGGTTTGCTACCCTATTCCTCCCTTATTTCTTGTTTTGATATTTTTTGTGTCGTCTAGTTATGAGTTGAATTGAAAAATCCAGTTTTGAGAAAATTTCCTGCATTTTGTGCACTTCCAGTGAAGTTTCAATCGATCGAACTCCAGTTCGATTGATCGGGAGTTCGATCAATCGAAATTCCACTTCGATCGATCAAACCCACTGAATTGATGAATTTTCACCTTCCAATTCAATCGATCGAAATCTATCTCAATAGATTGAAATCCATTTGGATCGATCGAAGTCCTTCGATCGATAAAAAATGCATCATTTGAACTTCCGAAAAATGCATTGACTCTTCATTTTTCCCCTAACCCTGATTTTCTTTTTCTTTTTTCTTTTTCTTTCTTATTTTTCTTTTTTCTTTTTTCTTTTTCGTTTTCTTTTCTTTCTTTCTTTTCTTTCTTCCTCCATCTCTCTCCTCTCTCTCGGCCAACCTTTTTCTCTCTCCCCAATTTCCCTCTCATCTCACATCTCTCTATCTCCATCTCCATCTCCAACAACCGCGGACCACCACCACTTACCCAACATTTTTCTTCCAGTGTCACCGAGCCTAAGGAGACCCAACCTCTCTGCCGTCAAGATCCATAAATTCCGGCGAGTCTTTTAGCCCAAAAGTGGCCAAAATCGGTTTCTCTCTCTCTATTTACTCTTGGTTCCATTCTATGCATCTTCTCTGGCCCATTTAAGCCAAAGAGATCTCGGTTTCAAGTTCCGACGATCCTCTGCAATTTCTGGCGAGATTCCGGCAAGTTTTCGGTCACCTTCTCTGGCCACGGTGAGGCTGAAACTCCTCATTATATCCCGAATCTCTTTGTTTTGACCACCTCTCCTCTCTTTTGGTTCGGGTACCTTCAACTGCATTTATTATTATTATTATTTTATTTGCTTTTGTTTACTTTTTAGTTTTATTTTGTATTTTCCATTGTTATTATCAATTGTGTATATGCTTGTAGATAAAAAAAATAATAATAATAAAAAATAAAAAACAAATAAAAATTATAAAAGAATCAAAAACAAAATAAAATAAAAAATGAAAATGCAAATAAAAAAATTTTGGAACAATTAATTTGAATATTTTGCATACTTTGATTTTTTGGATTGCATGGTCATGGGACTATATTGACAAATGGAGAATGGATTGTGATTATTGTGGTAGTTAGAAGGAGAATGGGCAAAGTTTTACTTGGATTTGTGAATTGATTTTGTGAGCGGTGTCCCTTGTTGAATTGATTGAATGGATGTGAATTGAATATATTCTTGATTGTTGATTGTAATTGACATATATTTGTTGTTTTTGAAATTTTGGGAATGTCAGTTTTTAAAGGGAAATCATGCTGGATTTTTGAAAAATTAAAATTGAACTTTGTTTTTAAGTTCCTAAGGCATGTGGTTTGTTTTTGAATTTGAAATGGAATTTGGAAAGATTTTGAAGTTAAGATGTTGATTTGAGTTGACAAGAAAGAAAAATGTCAACTTCTTTGCAAGTTGTTTTGAAATTTCAAATTGATTTGAAAGGTGTAATTCTTGCCTTTGGAAATATCATGATTGTGCAAATTTTGGTTGTTGATTTTCAATACAAATTTGAATGCCAAAATGAAATTCTTGTCTTGAGATTTGAAATGAAAGGAAATTTTCTTTGAACTTGACATATTCTTGAAATTTTGAACTTGTAAGGGTATTGAAATTTTTTAATTGTGGTGATCATAATCCAACTTGTTTCATTTGATTGTTTTAAATATGAAATGCATGGATGTGTTGTTTTTGAATGATCTTAAATGCATACAAGTTATGTTTTGACTTAAATCTTGTATCTTTGAACTTAAAAATGCAAAGTCTTGTCTCAAATGCATAAAAATGTTTCAAATGGACCTCTTTGATTTTAATTTATGATTCAAGTGTATTTGTTTGGTAAAATGATCTTTGAATGTTAAAATGCTCTGTGATCACACTTGTTGGGTTTCAAATGATTAAAAAGAAAATTTTTGAACTTTGCTTGAAAATGAGAAGTCGAGTTGCATAATTCCTTCTTTTGTTGTTCAATCATTGCATGATTCTTGTCATGAAGTTTTTCTACAATGCAATTGAATGTTTTGACCCCAAAGTTTTCAAAAATTTCAATTTTGCCCCAAAAGTGTAGAGTAATTCCAAAGTTGACCAAAATGCCCTTGTTTGAATTGAAGATTGTTCTATTTGATTCATTTCCATCCATTTGCATGTGCTAAGTGCCTTTGAACTTTTTTGAAATTCTTGATTCTTGCCATGCTAGGTGTTACAAGGCTAAATCACACCACAAATTTTTGCCTCTATAATGGCACTTGGGGCCACCAACTATCAGCCAACACACAACACAATACACACAATACTAAAATGTAAAGAAGGCACACACAGTTTACAAGGACTAGCCCCAACCTTTGCTCATATTAAACATATTACAAAGGAACACAAGTTCGTATAAGAAACCAAGGCTCCACACACACACTGTGTTTCACTCCCTTCTATCTCTTACAAACCCACATTAGCAACAATATATAGGCAAACTCTCAAAACCACCTATAACTGCCCACTAAAGTGGTGGATGACACCCCCATCCACCTAAGGTCGTGTTGGCACCCTCTAAGTGTGTCAGCACAACATAAGCAGTTGACAAGCCTAACTACTATGTAATTGGCATGCTCTGCTCATGCCACTTGTCTATAAGAAGTTACCCAATATCAGCCACCTTCTATATATCAGCATAGTGGAGGAAACTAACTCCAACCACCAATGTGTTGTCCCCTCAGATCAGTGTCACCTGCATGGGAAGTTACACAG